AGCTTGCTTCATGTTATGGCAATGGGGTAACTCATGACCGACCCATAGCCTCCTCAATCCATAGACTGATGATCAGGTGAACTGTGTGAAAGAGGAGAATGGAAGTGGCCTTTTGGAGCCACTGGCAGGGTAGTTTTCTAGGAGGTACTGAGGCTTGGCTAGTGGGAAAAGTAACATGGATGAAGTTGCTGTGGATCAGAGAAGGGGAAAATGGTGCTGCCATTATTAAGAGGTATGGGGTGAGCTATCCCTTATGAATTACAACTTGATAAAGCGTCAGGCCCCTCCAGTGTTGGGAAAGTATTAACACCCTACTGGGTATCCCTCAAGCCATCAAAGTGGCTCCTAACATGGAAATAAAGCACTGCGTTTCTCTCTTTCCTGTCCGAGAATCAAGAGAAGGGGCCCACTTAGGCCTATGGGGGATGACTTCCTTTGAACTGAGTCAGAATGAACCTACACTTCAGATCACTGATCAAGAGATCATACGGCCCTATGACTGTGATGTCTTTCATCAGAAGTTTCCAGATGGGGTGCTGCTCACCAACAATTCTCCATCCAGCTGGACAGTGGCAGGCTGGTGATCAGCAGTAGGACAGGATGGAGACGTTGCTTCAGGAAGTCGGGAAGAGAGAGGGGACTCTTTCTTAGATGACTAGCGAGAGTACCAGTGTTGGCGAGAGGTGTACTTGGAGCACCTCCTCTGGGATAGGAACGTTTTTGCATAGGTTCTACAGAAATGGTGACATGGTTGAGAGAAGACTGAAGTGGGATGGGGATCAAACTACAACGTTAAATAATTGTCAGTGCAAAAATGCTAGAGCTGAATAATTATATTGCCCACGGTGTTAAGTCTTGAAGCTCAGAGGCCAAGACCAGTACAGTGAGGAATAAATCTCCAACAGGTTGGGGGGAGGTTAATCACTGATGGGTCAGCAGAAACAAAACATTTAAAAATCCAAAGAGGCTCAGTAAGTAGAAGACATTTATGCCATGCTGTACTATAAGATGTGTCATGAACTTGGGAGGAGGATGGAATACACAGTCCACACAAGGTGACAGTGTTGTACTGGTGAAAGCTAGAGAGAAAGCTGCAGCATGTGATGTTGGATAAGAACTTGAAGGTGAGCCAAATCTCTCCTGAAGGGAAGAAAGCAATGAAAAGAGAAGATAGATGCAGAGAGACAGCAAGCGTGAGAAAGGCAGGTTGAGCCGTCTGAGCTCTGCAAGGCCTTGGGGAGGCAGGAGAAATATGACAGAAGACACAAGAACACATGTTAGCATGAGGTGCGCTATCCTCCGGAGTGATGGGAATGCAGGAAGATGAGATGGGAACAAGCTGGCCTTTTGATGGCAGCAGCTGCTGCAGCTCAAGGCCAAAGGTGGAGCGGTGGGTACCGAGAGGACATCCGAGAAGACAACACACCTCCGCTGGTAGGAGGGGGCTCCTCACTTGAACATAACATAATATGTCAACATTTCAGGAAGACGTGTCAGAGCATGTGAAGATGCCTGCAGGAGGAGTCCCTACAAGCCATAGAGCCAGAAGTAGAGGACATGGGAGGAATGTCACAGATGTGTGCCCAGGGCAGCGTAAAGAGTTCAAATGACTATTCTGAAATGTGCCAGATGAGCACGGGCTCTTTGGGATGATATATGTTCAGTGGGCTTCCTGGGGAATGCCTGGGGCATGTTCAGTGCAAATGCCACAATGCTGGTTTTGCCTTTTGATCCTGCATCTTGAACAGAGGACGTATCAACTGGCGATCCCCTGTTCCCAGGGACTGAAAGTCCAAAGGCCTGAGCTATCTAACAAAATAGTTGATCTGTCCAGCTTTCATTCTACTTCCGATCTAAAGATTAAGATGAACTTGTGAGCCCAAGGAAACCCAAGGACTGACAGGTGCCAGAGCTGGACTTGGGGTGAGCTGTTAGCATGGACGGAGGTGCTCTTCTTGTGGTTTTTGTGTGCTTTCTTTGCTATACTTTTACTTTGAGAATAAATGTGCTTACTTGGAAGGAGCTGTGTGGTGACTTACAGCAGCTGGTAACACACTGCTCAGAGCCCTTGGGGAGAGAGCAAAGCGAGGGTGTTGGCTCCAGTCAGAAGGGAATGAAATGCAGGTCCCCATCCAGGAAAGGTCACATCTAGGAGCCCTGGAAGGCTCATGGAGGCAGAAAATACAGGTGTTGTCACTCTGAAACAGGGATGAACAGCTTCTTGGGAAAGGCTCGGGAGGGGAGGCACTGTGATGTTTGGACATGAAACCGAGTGTGTTAGGGAACATCAGGCCTGCCAAAGCCTTTCACAGAAGAACACCTGAGAGGAAAGAGAGTTAAAACAGTAATACAAGGATCATGTCACATCAGAAGCTGACACGTGTGAATTTCCTAAGGAACTCCAGGCTTTAGTGGCTTTGTGTCTGCCGTGTAGACACATTGGTACCAACAGCCTCATTGCAGGAATAAATCGATTTTTGCAGCTCAGGGAGTCTTTGTCATTGGACAGAGCCAAACTTCTCCCCTAGCTGGCAGTTACCTCAGAGGGACTAGTAAGAGATCGCCTCCTATTAGCGATTTCTACACCTTCCCAAATCCTGCTGGCATGGGAATGGAGCAACTGGTTCTTGGCATCAGATATATGGCAGATCCAGGGCAGGATGACTTGGTATACATACTAGATAATGCATAGCAAAGGAAGGTCCCAAACAAATCCTTTTCAGCCAACACCCCTGGGACTTTAGAAAAAAGATCTTTGGTACCCAAATATACTCCCTTCACTCCTTCAATCAAATCGTTTTCAGCCAACACCCTGGGACTTTAGAAAAAAGAGCTTTGGTACCCAAATATACTCCCTTCACTCCTTCAAGAAGCCATCTCTGGGGATCTTGAGTGACAGGTCTCCAGTCAAAGGATGTGCAGCTCTTGTCAGCCTGTGGCATGCTGAGCTGAAGAACATAAGAATATAAGAACATAAGAACAACCATACTGGGTCAGACCAAAGGTCCATCTAGCCCAGTATCCTGTCTTCCAGTAGTTGCCAATGCCAGATGCCCCACAGGGAGTGAACAGAACAGGAAATCATCATGTGATCCCTCTCCTGTCATCCATTTTCAGCCTCTGACAAACAGAGGCTAGGGACACCATTCCTACCCATCCTGGCTAATAGCCATTGATAGACCTAACCTCCATGAATTTATCTTGTTCTGTTCTGAACCCTGTGAAAGTCCTCGTCTTCACAACCTCCTTTGGCAAGGAGTTCCACACGTTGACTGCACTGCATGAAGAAAAACTTCCTTTTGTTTGTTTTAAACCTGCTACTTATTAATTTCATTTGGTGATCCCTAGTTCTTATGTTATGGGAACAAGTAAATAACTTTTCCTTATTCACTTTTTCCACACCAGTCATGATTTTATAGACCTCTATCATATCCCCCCTTAGTCTCCTCATTTCTAAGCTGAAAAGTCCCTTCATATGGGACCCATTCCAAACCCCTAATAATTTTTGTTGCCCTTTTCCAAACATTTTCCAATGTCAGTATATCTTTTTTGAGACATCTGTATGCAGT